AGTAATTGTAACGACAATAGGTGTGAATGAAAATTTTAGATCACATGGAGTTAAATGATAGACTTATTTAATCACAATAGATATGAATGATAAGTTTAAAACAACAGGGGCTTAAATGATATGCCATGAAACCATAACGGGGTGAAAATAAATTTTTAAACTATGTTTAGGATCTGTTAGCAGATCCTAGATTTTTTGGGATTCAGATGCACGCGTATGTAATTTTAACTGCTTTATTTTCTCTTGTTTTGTTTTTCAGATTAACCAGGTTAAATTTCAGCACAAGATTGAGAAAGGGAGCGCTCTTGCACTAGGACTTCTTGCCATCAAGGTAAATTGGTTTATCTATTATTGCTATTTTGGAATTATTATGTATTTTATACCTTGTATTTTGCAGTTTTTTATTTTTATTTTTAATATGTTCCTTAGAGTTTTGCATGTTCTAAAGTATATTCTGGTGTTTAATATGATTTTGCAAACTGAGATTAAGATTACATTTTGATACTAATTATTTATAATATTTTAGTGGAAGGTTTATTTTATGTTGAATTTTCTTATTGAGTCTTAATATGTATTTTAATTTGTAATGTTTATAAATTTTTGCAGATAGGAGTATTTTTGTATCATTTAATCTATTGAACACTTTGTATCTGTGATTAGTAAACTTATGTTTTTGTCCCTAATTAGAGGCTTAATGGTCTATTGGTGCTAACAATTGAATAATGAATATCTCAGAGTCCATGACAAACTTGATTGGTAACTGGCAACCCTTGCAACAGAGGAAAACATTATATGATATCAGGCGATGATGTCTCATCTTTCTGAACATTGCTTCACCCCACTGAGTGAAGGTATGTTCTCTTTTTATTTCATGTTACTTGCTGGCATGACATGGCATAACACAAGAGATCTATGAATGTATGTGAATGTGACGTGTGTGATGGTGACTGCAGATAGGAGAGTTGAGAGTAAAAAGTTATAGTCTATCTCCTTTCTAGCCTTCTTTCTTGTTCGTAACCTTTGCCATGACTGCAAGCACATTTCTTTTCTTCATTCTTTTGTCCATTGTCGAATTACCACCCATTTTTGTTTTTGTTTTGTCTTAAATTTTGGCATGATTTAATTTTGTATTGATAGTATGTAACTAAAAAATTAACATGTTGGTCATTTTTTTATAAAGTGCTACTGATATGCCTTGTAGTTTCTGCAGGTTCATTGGTGCTCTCCTCATTAGCGGACTTAATGGATGAGGAGAGTTTGAGGTGGGACATTGCTAGTTATTGAAACCTTGGGTAAGGGTAACTAGTATTTCTCTTATCTTTCATGCCATTATTTTCTAACTTGCGACCAAAACATTGTTAAGGACTGCTGTTGCTTGCTTAAATATTCAAAAATTATATATTGTAATCTTCCATCTCAGAAATCTTTCAAATCTAATTGTGTTTTGCATTTGTTAGCTTGTAGCAAAAGTAACTATTGACTGGTTATAGATGGTACCCGATCCAAAAGAGGTAGCGGCATATAGTGCAATGGAAAATCTTGGGAACTTATCGAAGAAGAGAGCTATAGAGCTCTAACAGATGCAATATTTGAGTAGGACAAAAATAAGGTGTATTTCCCACATTAACAACTGTTTGTATTTGCTAATATCCACATTTTGTATATTCTACATACTCTTATCCATTGTCTGTTATTTTCTAATTAAAAGAAAGGCACATAAAAAAGAATACAAAAATCATTCTATGATTTCAGGGCACTATGTCATAGTTTTTTTTTTCAGGGTGTAATTTGATTGCAGGTTGGAAGTGAAAGAGATAGCCATGATTCAAATGGGATTTCTGAGTGATGTTTGATTAATATTTTGCAGGATTCGAGTCTAATTATATAGGTTGTTGGTAAAGTTATAAAAGGATGGCTCCGAACAAGAAGAATTGGAAAAAAGCAGGTAAGACTTGGAATTGTGAAGTTTCTTTGAAAATCATGTTTTGAAAGATATCTTCTTTGTGCAAGATATTCTAGTGCAAATATTTATAATTTGTCAAATTGAGAAAAATATATTGTTTCAAAGTTATTCTCATTTTTCAAACTATTGCATTTTGTATTTTGTTTTTTAAGTAGATTATTGTATTTTGTATTCTGGTGCAAATATGTATAAAATAATTGAAAGCCATAAATTAGTAGAACTTCCTCTCTCTTTTTTGTTGAGCTTATGTGGTAATTGTAACATATTATTGTGCCTTTACCCCTATAATTCAAATTAATTTGATAGGACTTGTATAACATGGCTTAATTTATGATATTAGCCATGCAAATGTGATTACAGCCTATGATTGTATGCTTCCACTAGCACTTTAGCAACACCTCAGTGAGGGTAGATCGAAATACAATAAAATTTAGGGGTTCTCTATTCTTATTTTTAGTGAATTATTAAAATTTAATGAAGTTTACATTATTTTTGACTTATTAAAATATATAAGTTTCTGATTTCACGGTTGAGGTATTTTTCTCTAGTTATGTGTGTTACAAGGATCGTCATACTATATATTGTTTTGTTCAATTTATATTGTTTGCAAATGAACTGAATAGCTTGGCTGATTTCCATTTGCAGGACAAAGCGTTAGGAAGTTGGTTAAAGATGGCTTCATTAACATATTAACATATCATCCACACTGCAAGGTCAAAATGAAGGATTAGCAACTCCTCTTGATGACTTTTTCATGGATGAAATTTAAATTCTACATATTTTGAAAACATTGGAATGACATTTTATTGGATATTTTTTGTGATATTTAATTTCTGTTTACATTACAGTACTTTGGGATTTTGGGATCTTTATTTTGTGTTTAGATTATAGCGCCATGAGAATACATTTTATTGGACATTTTATTGGATATTTTTTGTCATATTCAATTTCTGTTTACATTACTGTACTTTGGAATTTTGGGATCTTTATTTTGTGTTTAGATTATAGCGCCATGAGAATACATTTTATTGGACTTTTGTGTGATATTTTTACTGTTGGTTTAGATTATAATACTTTGAGATGATATTTTGTTACACTCTTTTGAAATTTATATTTTTTGTTTAGATGATAGTACAAAACATCAAGTTTGATGTTTTAATCCTATTATGATAAATGGTTTACCAATTTTTTTTTTATTCAATAACATTTTATGAATGATCTTTTTTGTTAATAATTTTAATTATATTTGGACAACATTTCAAAAATTATGTATAGCAATAATATTCTATATTTGAATAAATTTATAAAATAAAAAATATTTATAAAATAATAACAAATCACTATTATTAAATTTAAAAAATGGGATTTTAGAAATATAAGAAACAAAAAAATTGATTAATTTTTTTTTAAATTATCGAATACAATCATACAAAATTATTTTATAAATTTTTTAATAAATTTATAAAAAAAATTAAATTAATTTTTAAATTATTATTTAGAGGTGGTTATAAACCGCCTCCAAAATGAAATACAGAGACGGTGTGCAACAAACGCGAAGTACCTTATCACTTATTTAGAGGCTGTTACGAACCGCCTCCAAAAGGAAATACAGAGGCGGTGTGCAACAGACGCGAAATACCTTATCACTTATTTAGATGCTTTTACGAACCGCCTCCAAATGGAAATACAAAGGCGATTTGCAACAAAACCACGTTACTTATATAGAGGCGGTTTACAACCGCCTCCAAAAGTAAAACATAGTAATTTCGATGATCATTATGTGGCGGTCACACCGCCGTCCTAACCGTTGTTGAATTGTTCTCGACGGTTGTTCCAGCGGTTGAATGTGACCGTCGTTGATTCATTCCCGACGATTGATTTGGCGACGGTTGGTTAACCGCCGTACTACTATTTTAGCGACGGTTCTAACCGCCTCAAAATCATAATTGGACCATCACAAATTGCACCTTTTCTTGTAGTGTATATGTGCTGAAATTTATTATGTTGCATGAAACTCGTAAATTAGTTCGAGAAATTCACATTCCAAGTACATTATTTGCCTCATGGAGCAAAAATAATAAATAAATAAATAAACCCTAAATTGGAAAGAAAAACTTCCAATCATGTTATCAGAAAAAAAAAAAAAACTTCCAATCATAGTTATCAGTATTATAAGTGCAGCAATACGTATCAAGGGAGTGTATCGTAAAAAGAGATTAAATTGGACGATATACAATATCATGTATCAAACGATATAAAAACTAAGTCAAAATTTATAATTTTTAATATATAAAGAAGAAATAAAGATTTAATTTGTCATTTAAATTCAAAAAAAAAAATCTACAGAATTATTATCAATAAGGAAAAAAAGAATAAAGATTTGATTTATCGACTGGCTTGATAAACGAAATAATATTGCCAACAAGAATGATAAATGAAAAAAAAAACCTCAAAATATTGAACAAGAAATGAGAGATGAGTCAAATAACTACACTAATAAAGAGGATGATGGATTAGTTATATCACTAATAGATGCTGATAGTAATAATAATAAGAGGTTATGAGTAAAAGAATAACTAGTTTGCGCTTTAATAACTTACGTATTTTACTTATAATATTAATTATAGGGAATAACATCTGTCATTTAAAGGATATAAGTTTATATCATTTATATCCTAACCGTTGATTTCCATCCATCAACGGTTATAATTTATTGGATCAAAATTATTAATTAATTAATAATAAATTTGGCCCATTAAGTTTGACCCAATAAATTATAACCGTTGATGAACGGAAATCAACGGTTAAGATTTAAAATGATATAAACTTATATCCTTTAAAAAGATAGATGTTTTTCCCTTAATTATATTATATATTTTTAAATTATTTTTTATTATATTTATGCATCTTATGATTCGATATAATTCACAATACACCATACAAAAAACCGGCCAAATGATATATTGCGATTTAACAACCTTACTTCCAATAAAGTCTCTCTATCAGCAAATAAGAAGTGCTATAACTAATGGTACGCAATATAAACACAACTAGATGAATATGCCTTTAGAAAATTAGTCAAGGAGCTTGAGTATTACAACTTGCCTGAGCATGCTCTTCATAGCACTGTAGATGATCCTTGCAGCATTCGAGAGTTATTCTGATATCAATATTCATATCACCATAATTCCAAACTAAGATAGTACATTGATATGTGATAGAAAAATTAGGAGCACATGGACGACAATCCATGTTGCCAATCAAAAGATGGTAGCACTCTGAAGCAAATCAGTAAAGCTTTATTACTTCCCGAGCTTCGCAATGAACACAAGCTTTATTAATTTTGACGAGTTCTTGAGCTGGCTTTTCATGAAATTTTCAGATCATCCCCTTTCACTGAAAGTACAGCTTATATTTGTAAGAATCTTCAAAATGAAATACAAAGTTTTCCACATCACCAGCAATAGCCAATGGCAGATTCAAGAGCCACAGCACACTATACATGAACTGAGTGGAAAATACCAAAACTGGGAGAATGATCTTGCCATCTAACAGTTAGGAGATAATGGCACAACATCTCTTAGGTGGATCCATTGGAGCAGGCTTCGACCTCATTGTTTAAAAAGCCATATCATCCACCTAGACAAGCAATGTCTATGAAGGTGCTCAGGTAAATCTGCCTAGAAAAAGAAGTAATCATAAAGTCAGTACAACAGAAGGATGTGCATCTTCAGTTCAAAATATAAATATTTGAGCATTGGTAACCAAAGGATAGATATAATCCTCAAATTAAATAGTAACTAGGTTACAAATAATAACCAAGTATCTGTAAGTATTTCACTAAATAAATTCAAAGCTAATCGTAGTCAAAAACCAAGGATATCAAAAGTGAGAAATTGATTGATCTATACACATGACTACAAGTCAATCTAGCTATTCAGCAGATTTTAACAATCAAAACAAATATTTGGTGCGAAATATTTCATAGGTTTCATCCAACTTCTGAAGGATACAACTCTAGACATGTTTCACAAACTACACAACCTAAGCATCTAATACTGACATTTATTTGCAGTTTTTATTTCTAAGTAATCAAGCAGTTCTATGTTCATATACTTTACAGGTTGATCGATACGATCAGATAAAAAAATAGACCCATCTTATATTACCTTAAAATATCTGTGGTGAGTGGTGACATTTTATATAAACTTATAAAGGGCAAAACCCGGTGCACAAAGTCTTTCCAACATTCCGAGGGTATAGATGAGGGTGGATTATTCGAAGTCATACCCTTATATTTTTGCAAAGAAGCTATTCTCTAGATTTGAACCCATAATCTTCCGGTCACAAAGAAACAACCTTACTGCTTGGTCCAAGGCTCACCCTCTCATTTTATATTAGACTTAACTGCTTCAAATTCAATTAATAAGATGAATCTTACTTTTTCTTTTCTGGTAATGTAAATCTCACATTCTTGGGACAGCTAAATACAATTAAATGATATATATCTCATCTATTGGCAGATTTATTATGTCCAAAATTTAACATTTCTTACCGCAACTTCTGCATATAAAATACTATTCCACTGAAGTTTTATCAGCTTCATAGTTTATTAAAAGATATGGTACTTACACTACTCCATACTGAAGAGTAATCATCCGTTGAAAGCAACCAGCTTCTAGCATTTGACAGAAAATCCAACTTCCGGCTTGCAATATCAAAGTCTAGCAGCTCATCATCATTACCATCATCACAATCATAGGTCTTTCTTCTCTTCTTCCTAGCCTTTTGTTTTTTCTTATATTTAACTCCAACTGATGGACTGCAATCAAAACCAGAACAATCTTCTTCTGATGGTCGATCCGTATCTAGCAATGCATATTTATCAGAGTTGCGGAAACCAATTTGATTATTCATAAAGACAGACTCCCAGGATTCAGGAGTTCGGCATTCTTGTGACAATCTATAGTAAAGAACCCAAGATTGAAGTCCCAGACACTTTATCGCTTCTACAGTTGTCATCTTACACATATGCTTGAAGATTGGAGTCAAGCTATTAGGATTACTTGGGATTGCAGATATCTTTGATACAATCTCATTGATTTTTTCTTGTGGCTCCTTGGCCTCGTCATCACGTAAAAGGCGTAGAAGCTGCCTCCCCTGAGTCATGACAGCATTTAACAACAGTATCTGGTCAATAGATCTAGAAGCACCACACTTTAAAAGTACAATCACAAAAAAATAAGAGACGTCATTGAAGTCTTGAAATTCCATTCTTGGGCTGAGAGATTTACAAAGCAGTTCCAAAAAGAAGCATAAGTCTTGCTCATCAAGAGTAATAAGAAGGTGCTCACACAAGGAAGAGAAAGGCTGCTCTGTGAGGAATTCATTTATAACTTCCCACACATCTCTTAAATCCTCTTTGTACATTAAATCAATGAAATAACGCACAAAGAATGACCTATCAATGAACAAAATATCCCCGTCTTTCACTGACTCAGCAAACTCATTAGATGACCAAAATCTAGGCACATTCTCGAGAAAGTTTTCCACGGTTTGTTGGATGTCCAAATCAAGAAAATAATGGGGCTTTGTAGCAACCATTGCTGGTGACTGTCCATGCTTTCCTTTCCACTCCAACTCCTCCCAACAAATATCCCTATATTTAAATGCAAACTGGGACAATGCCCTGAAACCTTTTCCCTGCTCTTGTCCACGGCCAGAGGAAGAATAGGAAAACCACTGCGATACACGCTTAGGATTACCTGCATCACACCCACAACTTACACAATCAAAACTCACAAAACAATTCACATCAAATGAACAACTGCCCCACACATTTGTTTTGCATATCATCGTCATGTTTCATAACAAGTAAAACCCAATTCAATGAATAACACAGCACCCACAAAGGGATAAATTCAACACAGAAACCATCAACTGTCACAAGAAGGTAAATCAACAAATATCGCGCTTTTGACATTGAAAGCAACAAGATATTGCTATAAACAACCAAGACTGCAGATATGAACAAGCAAAAGAGTATAATAAAGGAGTAAAACACAATCTCATTCCTCACAAATACATTCTTCATCAATTTTGTCCTTAAGGATCAATTTTGACGATTTAATCCCTCGAACTTCAAATCTCCAACATGCAATCGCTTCATCCATTTCACCGAAAAATGCTCTCATAACACCCTAACACAACAACATTTAATCCCATAAACAAACTACAGTTCAGATATGAATGGTTATAAGCACCGTTCAGGGAAGGATCAAACTCATGTGTGATTTATATACCTTACATTTGCAACCTATAAGCCAAGTGGCAAAAATGTATAGAATCTAGAGATAAAACTCACCTTCAAAAAATTTCTCAAGTATGTGACTTCTCTGAGCCAAAATGGAACCCCCTTTTTGCGGAGACTTGTCAAACATCAAATTCAGAAGCTGAGACGCCAAACCCATCTTCTTCCCTCGATTTCTCAGCAAATTCCCAAACAACTCACGCTTATCGCGAGGACTCACGGAATTCACTCCTGCAATGGTTTTGCAAAGCCATTGTCGAGCTTCGGCGCGAGACCCCGACATCATCGTCGACCAAATAACGGTTTCCAACTCCTTTAAAAGAGAGATTCTTAATTTCGTCGAACCATCATCATCTACGTTGTCGTTCCAATTGGGCTCCGACAATAACAAGTTAATCATTTTCTTCTTCTTTTTTTTGGGGTTACAAAATGAGCATAACGAACTTGTGCAATTAAGTTAACGGATCAATTATCTATTAATAAAAATGGCTGCACACAAATTCTAAGAAATCATGCGAATCCTGTGAGACATGTTAGAGAATGCATGTACGGATACAGTACACAGTCGATGTCTTTCGATTTCGCGAGTTACCGATACGAAACTGTTGAGGAATTGCGTAGCACGAAACGTTGGATGGAGTGAAATGTTGATGTTGATTTCAAAAGGGTATTAGTTGGAGGTGCTGTGAATGGACACAAGTGAGAAGAAATGAAGGGAAGCTGCAACAATCTGAAAACCCCTAACGCGATGGGGGAAGAAGACGATAGCGGAAGCAAAAGCGTCACACAGCTGATTGTACAAAACAAAAAATAGATGTGAAAAGAATTTCGTAAGACACGGCGTCGTTTCTTTTCTTCCTTTCTTTTAAGAAACAAAAACAATCCATTTTCTAAAAAATAAAGGAAAAAGTGTGTGTCATTTTAAAGGATGTAAAGTCGTGTCATTTTAAGAGAGAGAAAAAGATAGATAAAGAAAGAAAGAGTTGATAAAAAAAATAAAGGTATGGGTTCCACCTCTTTGTGAGAGTAAAAAGATATAAGTTATGTCATTTAAAAGAATAAATATTTTTCCCTTATATAAAAAATTTAACTTACAAGTTACATAAAAACTGTTCATTTTGTTGTAAAATATGGATGAGGTTACCGTTGGCACTAATGATGCATTTACGAATGACGTTACCATTGGCCTTAACCTTACAATTATCTCTTATTCATATTTTTGTAATCACTACACTAATGGAGCATCAATTCCCCATTCATGGTTATATCTTTATATATACATGATACTTGTATTGGTATGATATATATGAATGAGAATAATATTATCCTATTTCTGTGTCTATTCTCTCTTACTTTTTCTATCTCTTTTATCAATTTTATAACACATTTAAAAAAAAAACACATTTTGAAAAAAGCTCATACAACTTACAAAAAACTCCTTGCAGGAGCTTTTGGTTTTTGACTTTTTTTTATATAAAAAAGCTCTTTTTATTATAAGAGTTTTTGTAAAAATTTGTTTGGCCTACTTTCTACTTACAAGGAGAAAATAAGCTAAAAAAATCTCTCAAAAGGCACTAAGAATAACAGACTAGACTATGTATAACAAAAAAATAGATTGAGAAAAATAAAATGAAAGATGAATTAAGATCAAATTTATCGAAACCTTACAACACTTATAGAAAAAAAATGAAAATTGAAGAAGATAAAAAAAGATCTAATATGTCTAAATCAAAAAGAAAGAAATAGACTGAATACAAAAAAAAAAATAGAAAAAAAATCTAAATAAAAAAATAGATTGAAAATAAAATAAAAATAGAAGAAAAAAAATAAGATTAAGTGTGTTGAAAATCTATAATAATAAGAGAAAAGACTAAGATTAAAAAAATTAAACTAGTATTTCAACAGAAAAAAATAATTGAACTAGTCTAATTCAAAAAGAAGAAAATAAAACAAAGAAAAAAAGAAATAGAAGAAAAAATAAGACAAAGAAACCACGTTGTATGCTTTTATTTTTTCTTCTATTTTTTTTATCTTTAGTGTATTTTTTTTCTTTTTGATTCAGATATGTATTGCCTTTTTCTCTTCAATTTTTATTTTTTTTACTTTTAGTCTTTTCTAACAATGTTATAAAATTGCAACATATTTGCTCTTATATTTTTCTGTCCTCATTTTTAAGACTATTTTCATGTTTTTTTACTTTTTGTTTTTTATGTTATTGTTGTAAGTTTTTAACATATTTGATTTTTTTTTCTCTTTTTTTGAAAATATTTCAATTGGTTCATCATTTTGCGACTAGTCCAATTCGGAGCGGGTTCCGGGATTAAGGATTTAAATCCCTTCCAAAGACAGTATTGGAGAGGATCTAACACATGCTCTCACTCTCACCTGTTAAGTTCTCTGGTGCTAACTAGGCTACCATCATTTGGTATCTTCAATCTTTTTTCTTCTTTATGATTTAGACATATTTAAGTTTTTTTTCCTCTATTTTTTTTGTTTTAATCTTTTCTATAAGTGTTGTATTTTTCCAATATATTTAGTCTTATTTCTTCTTCTTCTTTGTTCTCAATCTATTTTCGTTTTATAAGAAGGGCAAGATAGGTCGATTAATTTAGTTTCTAACTATATTAAGGATGAGTTTGGACAGAAAAAAAACCATAGAGGGGTAAATGAATAAAAAGAAAGCACACAGATGTAAATGAATCAAAGCAAAACCATATGGGTTTCGTAAACTTTTCCCAAAATAAAAAATATTACGTTTTAAAAAACAAATTACCGAGATAAAAGGTTAATTGCTTGATTGATAAGTATTATTAGTTTTATAATATGGGAATGAATCACATTGGGGGGTTTCATTATTGGATTGGCTTGCATATAATGCTTCAAAGCATACTTTTTAAGTATTGCTCTATTTTCCTTTATACTTGTTGTATAAATGAGAACCATCAACTTGAATTATTGGTTTGTAGAAATTGAATGTCTCTCAACACTGTTTGGATGTTCATAAAATGCGATGAAAAACTCAATGTCTGGAACCACTCGTGATTGATGACATAATCATTAGTTTGGAGATGGTAGATAGAACCTAGTGAAAAACGAAGCAAGTAATCACAACACCAAGTCAAAATTGTATAAGACTTTTTCTGATTGCCATAGATTGTCGCATTTGCTTTCTGCTTTGCATAACAGACCTTCCTATAAGAAACTTTGAAATCGTAATGAGTTGCGATCTTATCTTGTATTAGCACAATCAACACTGATGGTTCTGCATTTATCATACCTATCATGCAAAATTTTATACATATGTCAACACACATTAAATAAGACACATTTAATATGCAAAAAATAACTACAACCACATATCTAGTATAAGTAAAGCAATACCATCACAATCAAGCTATCTATGATCCTAGGAAATCTAGTTATTGAGGCAATTGTTATCTCCTCCCCATTTCGTAATTACCCACATGTCTCCATACTTCAATTTCATTGTCCTAACCCTCCATGGGCAATCATCTTCATGATTGCAATATTTCATTATAAAAAATGTATACTCTCAATCACGACCACTTCGTGATGGACTTTTATACAATAACGTTTGATTGCCATTTGCACAACTTTCTTGGACTCAAAATTCTTGCTTAACAAATAACTCATCACTTATTTGCCATGGACCCCACACTTGCTCCTCAATATAACCCCCCTCGTCATTGAGGTGATCTCAATTAATATATGTATAATGTCGAATTCCCAAAATGAAATAATAATACTACCTACGCATACACATTCATATTAGTTGAAGAAACGAAGTACATATTGAGTCATATATATAAGCATTGCATTTAAGAATTAACATTCAACTTTATGTTCATAAGCTTGATGGGGACTACGAACATGAGGTTGCATTTCTTGTGGGATTTGAGTACCACCCAAATCATGATTTTCATCAGTATCCGAAGCACTAGCATTCTCAGCCAGAAAAGTGTAACACCCCAGCTCGCGACCGGTTAGTTAACATGCACATGGTATAGAAATGCCACATAATTAAATGCTTAAGCGGAAGACTTAACCTATAAAAGTAGCAATGTTATCCATGTAACTAAGTGATTTAACTTTTTTCTTTTAATAATCTTTACGTATTGCCATGCGTATTTCATTTTCCAAATTATTGTTATTATTTGTATAGTCTCATACCTACACATAACTCCTAATTATTTTTCGGTAACCATCTTTGATAGTCAAAATACTATCCGAAGATGATATCTTGTACCATTCTAAATAGTGTAGTGTTTAATGGACAACATAACAGTTGTAAACTGGACCTACCGGGATCAAATCCCTAATCTTATATAATCTCTGAAATACAGAAAATTCCAGACCATCTATAATTATATCAAACTATCCCACTCAATGGACTAAAAATGGTTGTGCCAATACATTTATCATCTATATACAAATACTGCATCACATCATAACCTAAGGCTACATATGTCTTTCAAAATAATGACAACTATACAAATGCATGATTACTATCCATGCTTCAAAACACACATATATAATAATCCAAAAATACTATGTCTTTACTCTAGCTGATTGTCTAGCCACCCTACACAGGCCTCTTACCTTGAGAGGGCTCTCATGCTGCTGTTGGAACACCTGAAATATATCCCCATAACGTGGGGTGAGAAATAAATCTCGTAAACTCATGGTTTATGAAGTAGTCTACACCCATGAGTTCACTTCCTACATGTAAGGTCAAATACATCTAGCATACCATACATCATATAAGCCTATTAATTTTATCATGTTATCTCATATATCCAATCATATTTCAGCACCTTTATGAATGCAACTGGACTAAGTATCTAACATAATTCAATATACAAACACACAGATATTGTAACCATGATCCTTTTAGATCCTGGTGGAACAACATAGAGGAAAATTCTCCTTACCAAGAGCTTACTTGAAATATAAGTAACTATGTCAAATCCTCATAACTCTAATTAGGAATCATTGTATCTCCTAATTCATACCTGTTATCCAAATATACATGAGATTTGATTTTCACACATACAAATGTATCATAAGATTCATATCTTATCAATTCCACATTCATTCTTGACAATTCATACCTATACCACAAGTCAGACCTAAGCACTGAATCTTTGACATTTAGTCACATATTGTTAAACCTATATACAAACACCATCAATTAAAGATTTAACTCCTTAAACCACTTGAAACTTACTTCAATTAAGTTTCTAGATTTAATTATTAATTAACTTAGTTTCCAACCACATTAAATCCTATATGGCCGAAACCCTAGCTCACTCATATACATGATTTATCAAGCTTTCACTACATCATTTATGTTCCATTAAATATTTCATCATGCATCCCAAACATACACTTAACTTGGACTCCAAATTCATTAGTCAAACGTCTTTTTAAGTGTCCAATTACATAAAACTTCAAACACTTAATTTAGTCA